TTGTAAGAGTACGTTCTGACACGAGTCAGTTATTGATTGATTTGATATTATAGATTGCTATTGACTGAAATAGATATTCAATTGATGCAATAGATTGACTAGACGACATGACTGATTGAACTGATAATATTGATTGACAGAAAAGGGCTACGATGAATAGATATTGACTGAAAGCACTTATTGATTTGATAGCTGTGACGTATTGATTTATTGATTCTTTTGCCGCCGTATTGACTATTGAGTATTGATTGATTCGCTTTGATTTGATTTCCGTACCTGCATAGATTCATTGATCATAGCTGACTTGACTCGATTGACCTGCATATTGTTTCGATCGTGCTTTGATTTCAGTTGTAGGCTTTGGTGACCTGCTGGGCTTTGTAAGCTCATTATATGTGGTTAATATTTCAGGTGCAGGGCCTCCAGTCTGAAGATCTTTCCGTTGAGTTCTGTCGCTCTTTGTTTTGTAGCCTTGGTAGGCTTTCTTTTGTAGCCGGTGCGGCTATTGTATATGACCTCTTGGGACGCTTTTTGTCTGTGCTCTGTTGTACTATATGTGAATTATAGTATCCGCTGCTGTTTCTTTTCTGTAATGTAATTATCTTTGGCTCTGGATGTTTATTGATACGAATAACGGATAAAGAAAAAAAAAAGAAAATGAATGATCGATCAGATGAATCCTTTCACTACACGGATCTTGGGTCGTTATAGTTCAAGCTTCAAGTCGAGCTCGACTGCCAAATACCAAGCTCGAACTCGTGTCAATCTCAAAAGGCGAGCTCGAGCTCAACTCGTCTCACGTCGAGCTACTCGTTGAGCTCCTTCCCAACCGCCGTCGTCGAGCACCTTCCCGAGCAGGCTAGCCCCCGCTAGTAGCACGCAAGCTCCAACCTCAGTCATATTGAGCTACGTGGTCGAGCTCCGTTGTCCCGAGTAGGCTTGGTCGCGTCCATTATCGTCCGAAGGTCCATCGTCGTCCTGACTTCCACATCGAGCAACACGCGAACTCCCTTGTTTTGATTTTCCTGATTGGCCTTCGATTCGTACTCCCGCCAGCCCAAATCGAAGTTTCATTTTCCCTCATGGTCACCTCCGCGAGCTGCTCGATGAGCTGACAAGTCGAGTAGAGATCTATTCGAGCTCGAACTCGATAAGCCGTCGAGCTTGAAATTGTGTTCGAGCTCGACTCACGAGCGTCGAGCCTGTTACCAAGTCGAGTCTGAGCCGGCTCGCAAGTCGGCTTGACTCGGTTACACCCCTACCCACTTTACACCCCACTGCTGTTGGTGGGAACAGCACATAGGCATTGGCGGAACCACCTCTTGCTTAGGGGGGGCAATTGCCCCCCCTCAAAAAAAAACTTTTTTTTTGTAAGAGTAAAAAAAAAATTTATAGGAGTGTAAAAAAAATAAGAGAAAAAAAAAATTATAGGAGTGTAAAAAAAATTTTTTGCCCCCCATAAAAAACTCTTTTGTCTTAACTTGTCCTAAAATATCTATATATTTCTTCACATTTAATTTTAATATTTTCTTTCATGTTTTTCATGATAGTTTAATTACACATTTTTTTAATTATTTTTCTTGCTTAATTTTTTTTAAAGAACTTTTTGTAATATATAGATATATAATATTGTTTTTTAATATTTAATTATTTTTGTGTTGTATTTGTCCCCCTCAAAATTGAAGCTGGTTCCGCCCCTGCACATAGGGTTCATTTGAGAAAAAACGTCTTAATGATTCCTTATAGTTTACTCCAATTAAATTTGAAAAATGAATTTATCGGTTTTTAAGGAATTCAAATCTGTATGCATGTTTCAAATCCCATATTTTTTTATAATTATCTAAAATTAAATGATGAATTAAATAAATTCATCATTTTTCAAAAGCATACTTTACAACTTAAAAGCAACCAAATAAGCCCATAGAAGAATTTGTTCTATGGGAAAGTCACAATAAATACAGTAGCTGTCAGATGCAGATTTCATGACAAGTACATGATACATGAACGAGGCACACAAATAAGTAAGAAAATTCAAGCCGGATCAATGAAGGCCACTATACCTATAATTTTTAGGAAAAAAAAAAAGAATGGGAAAAATATTTTACCATCATAATCTGTTATTGTGTAAGGTTTACAAGAGAAGGAAATGAAAATGAAATGATTGAAAATATTAAACACTGCTATGCCACTTTACATTTATGTAACTATAGAAATCATGAACTGTACTTATTAGATAATAGATTTGAAAGCCTTATTAGTAGGAGGTAATACATTTAGGGAATGGCAGAGACAGAATCAATGCCATTAAGAAATCAATTTCTTCGGTGTATTTTCATATCCAGTGTAGGTATTGTGTAGAACTGGAACAAAGAAGATCATTCTGCACACAAGAATGGCAAAAATCAGATCAGAATTACAGAATATTTTACAAAGAATGAGTTGTTTTTTAAACATAAAATTTGATGATTTAATCATCAAGAAAGATCGTTGCAGTCTATTCCAATGTTAAGTCATAACATTAAAGCATTTAACGCAAGGAATTGGAGGAAACAATCACATTAGATGTATAAAAGTTTAGTGGCAATTATATCTTTGAAATCAGTAGATCCACTTTGGTGTACAAGATAAGTGCTTCAGAGGACTCTCATGGATAATAAAGTTCAGATCTATTTTGGGCTTGTTGAGGTTGGAAGGTATTTAAACCTTTTGAGACTTTGAGAGTTGACAATGTTTGTGGTTTAGAAAAGTGTTATCGAGGATATCAAGATTAAAGTGACATTATTGAGTCAAAGAAGAGATTTGTCAAATGTTATTTAGCTCAATAATAATTTAACCCACCAAAGATGCGGAAATACTGGCGAAATAACTAAGGGAATTAAGTTGATGAAATTTCCAATGGAATATTTGGTGTAAAAACCGTCAGAATCAAAGGAGGCATTTCCGACAGAATTCCCATTTATTATTCATTGGAAATGCCTAAATATTTTTCATGCCAAGACCTTATCTACATTGAGATTTAGATTAGAAATATACTTTTGAGAAATGATTATATTTTATGCTAGATTTAAGTTATCCTTTGTTTGTATCCTTTTCTTGTTCTGGCCTCTTTATGACCTTGCTTTGTATGTCTCTTTTCTTATCTGAATAAATTCCATTTCTCTTTCAAAAAAAGCAAATAATAAACAACAAATACCCAAACAGCCCTCCCCCAATCCCCTCCCAAATTTCTCATATTTTCTTAATTATGTTCCTCCCAAATCCCTCTTCAATTTGGAAACATTTCCTAATTAATACCCTCCAAATCAACCCCCAAATCAACCATCTTTAATTAGAAAATATTTCCTAATTAATTATCTCTCATATTTGAATTAAAATTAGATCTTTTTCCCTAAATAATTCTCGTCCAATTATAATTAAAACTTTCCTAAACAATTCCCCTTTGTTTAGGAACATTCCTAAACAGCTACCTCTTGGTTAGCAAACTTTATAATTCCTTCCCATTCAAATCATCTGGTCCATCAATATCCTGCAGCATAATAGCACATACAGCTAAAAGATCCATTTCTTTTGATTAATCAGAGAATAATTATTTCTTACTTAATCTTCGTAGAATAAGCATTAATCCAAGAAAACTCCACCTAATGAGTATAAAACAACCAAAAGTAATACAATCAATCATTAGACGAAGATGAATGAATCCATCTTGATGGCCTACCTAGCGGAGGCCTCGCAGTTAGATTATGCTCAAATATCATAAGATGCAGCAACCTTTTCTTTCCCTGTTGAGATTCATCAAAAGTTTTAAGAAGAATCAAATGGATGTGGATTAAGGCAAAAACAAAAAATTAAATAATGAAAACAATAGAGATAACAGGGAAGCCACTTCAACCCAAGGAGCCTAAGTTATCATCAGTAGTTGACAATACAATAAAAACAATTTGTGGATAACTAAAACAATTTATTGAAGGAAAGAAACACGTTGGCTTTTTCAATGTCATAGAAAATAAACATACTTCTTTGCTACTTCGTAATATCTCAGAGCCTCTTGGAACTTTTTCCAAAAAGGGCCGGTCTCCTGCAAATTAACATTTTCTGGCCCACCCATATATGCTTGAACAACGAATTCTTGGCTTCTTTCCCTGATTTAAAATATAATGTAAGGATGGGACAGATATGATCAGCAAAAGAAAAGATCCATTAAGAAATATAAATGATGCTTTAATAAAAATAGAAGAAATAGTTTATGAAATCAGAACTTTATTTGAGGAATTCATGTGCGGTTGTCCAGGGCTGTAAATTCATAATAAATATTTACCTTCCTTCAAATTTAGAAAGCCAAGTATAATAGGCAGCTCCAAAGTAAATGGACACAAATGGATTGTATAGATCCTCCACAGAGTTAACTTCGTATGCCCTAAAGCCGAGGTCCCTTGGGGCAATAAAGAGATTTCAAGCACGTCAGAGAGTTCGAAAAATACATATTAAATTTGGGACGGAATGGGGGTAGAAACCAAGTATATTGGCTTAATTGTCGTGTTGAAATGGAAAGAGACAATTTCATAGCACTTGATGAGAGAAACCTCTAAAATGAGTACAAACGGCTCAATTGAATAGTTACATTTACAAGTTTAAGACATTGACCTGTACATCCAGAAAGCAGTAGGATAGTCAATTCCCATCAATCCAGTATGTGAGCCCAGTCCATTTACAAACCTCAGGCTACGAATCTCTGCAACTGCTGCCAAAGTTGTCTGCTTGTAACAATTAGAAACACAAACTTAAGAAATGCAAATGCCAAAAGTTAAACCGTGGGAGTATCAAGCAATTCTAGCCGTAGATAATGAAATAACAAGGAAATGGCTTGAAAGGAAAAAAAATGCACTTTTTGTGTTTAAATCACGTGCATTTAATCAATCAAAGTTATAAATTCAGAAATCCAGTGCTTAGTAAATAAAACAACAGCAAGGTAAGGAACTTAAATCTTGATGGGGAGATGATTCTCCAGCAAAGAACATATACAAACATGCCAGCAGGGAAGGGGGGAGGGGAACCCTTCACTTTGATCCCTAGTGCAATTTAAGATTTCAAGATAATCCCCAAGCTTGGTTTTTTTGCCTTCACAAAAGTTGCCACTGGTAAATATTCCATTAATTTCGTTGTTGTAGCATTTTTTTACTTAAATTTGAATGAAATTAATTTGTTGAGCTCAAAATACCCTCCTCAAGATTAGTCTCCTATTCTAGGGTTAGATCATTCTTCAGCAATCTATAGAAGCATAGCTTCTTGGCAATGAAGTTTAGAAAAACCTCTCAATCTCAAACCAGGTTTCTTGGCTACACTAACTTATGGAGCTGCCACCATGCAATCGCACTAGTATCCCACCAATTTTTTTCCCTATACAAAGATGAAAATTTTGTCGAGCCCAAGCTAGGGCATGACTGGAACAAGCCAGATTTGATTGAATCAGCTCATTAACAATGTTGTGCATTCATTTGTCATGTACTCACTCATTCCTTCAAGTGGATTCAATGGGGAGATTTTAGGGGCATAACTAACCATATGATTTTAGTGAAATATTTTAGAAAGTGCTAAAATGCATGACATAATTTACATAACATGGAAATATTTTCTGGAAAAGCTTACCGGTTGCAATCTTTCTTTGAAGTATCTTGAAACGATGATTTCAGCAACTGCCTGCAAAAGATGCAATTATCATATACTAATTGTTGCATTGGGATCATAACATTGCATATCAACAGGAATAATAAATTCCTCTTATTTTATGTATCTTTCTCTTATTAAAGAATCACATGTGGAAGGTATTTATCTTATGAATATAATCACATCACAGTCTCATACTAAGGGCTGACACTAAGAGGTTGCCACTGACTATTAAAACAATTCCAAAAAAAAAAAATCACTCTCCTCATATTCTTGTGAGAAGCATGCGCTACCACATTGCTCGTTAGATTTTGTTCAACTATTTTAGAGCATGAGGGTATTTTAAATTCAAATCATCCTCATAGGCCTCTGGAATATATCTTGTCACAAATTTCAATTTTTACCTTCACCTCAACCCGAGAAATATAAGATCTACCATCAGAATCTTGGGAGAACTGTACTCTTCTCCGTCTCTTGCCAGATTTTGTCCATTCTTTGTTCACATCTGGATTTTTCCACATTTCATCCATGTCTTTTTCAGATACTGTAAAATCCCAGTATGCCCGTCCATCAACTAATTCAAAAGATGAGCCAAAAATCAGTTATATGCTTCTATAAACAGATGCATGAAACGAGATAAATGTAACAGAAAGATGAAGGATATAGAAGCATTCAAACAAAACCTTAACTCATCATAAATAAAAGATAAAAATAACACATTTTAAGTATTATATGCATATTAATCCACGTGTCATCTGAAAATAATTGCAGGTTTTGGGACTGAAAAGATATCAAAATAGTCATGGGGAGTTGGGGACCATGAAATGAACAAATAGGAAATGACATCTAGCATAGTTCAAGATGCCGCAAATACTGTTTTAGAGCTTAAGAGTTTTTTTTTTAGCTCATAATATGGAAATCAATTATGAACTGTTTTAAAGCTCAAAGTTGCAGAAATTTCATTCATATTGTTTTGTTATCCTCACTTTTTACAATTTGGGAGGCTATACAAACAATGGGGATGATCATCCCACTTGTTAACACAATCAAGACAATCATAAACAGAATATCTCACATAAATGTAAATGACCACAACACCTTAGCAAAGCAGCTAAGGGGCATCTCAGAATTTCCAATATAGATGTTCATGCAACAGCACCTTGAATGGTGAAATTGAGCAAAGATATTACACAAAAATTAGCAGACCATATCTTCCACCAAACTGCCAACCTCACCAGTAGTAGAAATACAAGATCTCACAAGTAGCTAGAAAAATGAGGAAACGTTGATATCATGTTTGATAGATACTTCCTATGATGTGCCAATAGAAAGCTAACTTTGCAGAAGTTGTTGCAAGAATCAGGAAAAGAGTGACAACCTTCTTTCTCCTCAGCTGGAGCATCAATACTAAGAAAGTCAGGTGTGAGTGTATGGCCATTAAACTTCCGTCTCCTACAAATTGAAGTAGTCGTCATTATTTTAACTGATTGAAATATCAGCTAACTGCAGATTACATATTCCATAAGGCAACAACAAAAAATACCAAGTTTCCTACCAATTGATTTTGATACGCAAATAACACATGATACTAAGAAGTACTATCAGCTGTCAGATTAACTTTATGGATATCTTCACTAGATTAAGTTGGAGCCCTTTTAGATCACATATATTAAAAGCACGCTTAACAGAGAAAATTGACATTGCAGGCCTCTTATTGAGAAGTATTGTCAGCCATCAGATAAAAAGTAATTAAAAAAAAAAAAAAACACTCAACATCTTCCAAAGTATACCCAGAATCGGCCTCCCTACCTCTTTCTTGTATCCCTTTCATATGCCAAGTTCTCTTTCCCTCCCTCACTCTCTTCTGTATCGGATGAAAACATTAGCAGGAGATATCGACGCGTCTATCATCAAAGGAATCATAGATCAAAGGCTACGATTCAAAGTCTTTATTTATGATGCATTTATGTATTTTATTTTATTTATATTCTATTTTATGATGCATTTATGTATTTTATTTTATTTATGTTCTATTTTATCATTGTACACCCGAGAGGGATTATTTTATGTTGTAGCATTGAGGGCATTTGAGTCTTGTGTTTTTCTTTTATTAGAGATCTATATATGATGGTCTTCCCTATTGTATGAGATGATGATTGATTAATGAAGATTTTCAGCATTCTAGTTCCCTTGAGTATTGAGAGCTCTAGAGAAAGGAGAAGTCCCTAGGTGAGGGCAAAGACAATACCCGTCAGCCGTCGGAAGAGTCCGGGCTCACAGTCTACCTCCCCAATCCCTTCCCCACCACTGGCCCCCGCCCCTTTTCCTACCAACCGACGGTCTCTCCCTCATCTCCCCCAAACCGCTAGCAAAATCCCTACCTCCACGGAACCGAATGAGAGAGGGATTTATTATCGTGAGTGAGGCGGTGAGCGAATCGTTGTGCCGTTTGGGTATGTCGGTGGGCTTGTCGTGCGTGAGTCACGTGCTGCAGTTACAGTCAACAATCGCAGGCCATAATTCCACAAACCCTTAACCGCCGGCCTAACCTAGCCCAAGCCCCCTTGAATCCAATTCAATTACCCCATTATTACCTTCCTAACTTAGCCCCTATCTTAATTGGAAAGATTTCTTAATTCAAATTCAAATGAATTTGAATTTTAAAATCATTCCTAAATAGCCTACACCTACTTTAGGAAGTCCCTCAATCACTATAAATTTGAAATTAATTAAAATTTGATTCCCCAATCAACAATTAATACAATGATCCACATACATTGAATGTGGACAATTATATCTAAATTGAATTTTCAAGATCTTGATTGATGAGTCATCACAAATCGTTGAAGTGATTTGACAGTATAGATTCATAATGACCATTATCACGTTCTCACAATGCCACATAAAAATCAAAGAAGTATGAATTTTGCCATTTTTTATTGGACGGCTTGGGATGATCCAAAAACTGAATTTTCAAGTACCATACTCAACAGTATTAAAACAATAATTTAGAAGCTATAGCGTATTTTACAATAATCTTAAATAACAACAGAAAATGGTACTTACTTTATCAGACTTATATTAATATTATTTGGTAATTAAAATGTATAATGTCCTTCTAGAATTGATTTATTGAATATTTCTAAAAAATTTCAAAATAACTATGAAGGTGTTTTATGGATTTTAGAACATGAGTTCAGTCAAATATGCTTTAGAACTAATTTAACGTTTTTTCTAGGTTTTCTCAAAATAGAAAACAGATTATAGAAACTATAAATGGTACTAACCATGGACTAAGAAACAAAACAACAAATGGGCATAGAAAAATCACCTAATAGAAAGCAGATTACATGGCATCAATTGCAGCTAAAATAATAATAGTCACCTCTCAAGATTAAACATTAAAAAAGTAAGGTATCTCGTAGCACTACAGATTTCAAAGCACGAAAAGAATGGCTTATGCTTGTTATGCCTAATTTAATGCATTCTATATCAATAACTCCAGCATGAAATGTATATAAAAGCTTGAAATTAGTAGTACAGAACTTGACCCGAAGATCAAATAGATAAAAAATCACCTCAGTTTTTAGCTAGAACTAGGGGTGTTAATGAGTCGAGTTTAGGTCTTATCGAGCTCGGCTCGTCAGTTGAAAAGAGAGCTCGAACTCAAGCTCGAGCTAGAATCGAGCTCATGGGGACATCAGATCGTGGAAGGTTTATCAGAGACGTGGCCGTCGATCTACAGCCACGATCAAGTCTTTATATTTCTAAGTCATTGGTGTTATTTTATTATACATGTATTTTCTTATTTGCATATGTGTCATTTTGTTTTTCCCGTTGTACCCTCTTATGAAGGGATGTCGTATGTAAGCCCAAGGGGCATTTGTGTCGTTTGTTTTGAGTCATTTGTATGAGGCTATTTAAAGCCCCCTTTGTTCTATTTTGGTGGATGAATGATTGCTTATTGAAATTTCTTCTTGCATGAGCGTTGAGAGCTTGAGAGTTCTAATGGAGAGAGCTTCCTAGGAGGGGAAGAAGATTGGCGCAATACCCACCAACCTAGATAAGTCGGGTTCGTGGTTTTCTTCATTTATCACGTTTCTTTCCCATCTGTTGTTTTTCTTTTCTCATCCCTCAATGCAAAACTCACCAAGTCACCAAACCCATCCACCTAGTCGAACCCTTTCCCTCCCTCATATCTACGGCCAAATCCCTACCCAACTCCCCCATACCGCCAACCCAACACTTAGCCACCGCCACCCTCCCACTCCGTTTCCTATTGAAACCCTTGCCTAATTTGGGTAAATTAATTTTGGGAAGAGTTTCAAATTTTCAAATTCAACTAATTTGAAATTTGAATTCTTTCCTAATTTATCATCCTACTTTGGAAAGTTACTACATCAATTTTATTTGAATTTCAAATTCAAATAGGATTTATTTGTTTCTTTCCTAAATCCTAATCCCAAATTAAGTAACCACAATTGAGTGCATTAAACCCATATTTCCCCTTTGGATGCCGCTGGCCCCCTTCACCCCCTTCTTGGTTTTAATTAATAATTATTGCCTATTCTCCCCAAATTGCTTTTGGAAACTAATTCCAAATCCCTTTACGTTTCCTCTAGCAGATTTTTCCTAAGCCTTATTCCTATTCTAGTTCCCAAATCAATTCACTGATTTAGGAATAGAAAATCCCTCAGATTTTCCCTCTATCCCGCCGCCCTTCCTGTTCCTCTCTCCTTACCCGACCACCTCTCCCTCTCAAATTCCCTATCTCCCACTTCAATACCTTGCTGGAATGAAAGCTTGAATTCTCCTTCCAATTCCCCTTGCTCCTAAGCCTAGAATCCTGAGATTTCTCTCAGATTTTGGATCCAAAATCTGAGTTTATTTTCAGGATTTTGAAAAGGGAATTTAGGAGTTATTCTTTCTCCACTTGCAAGAGAAATTTCTTTCTCTTCGGCAATCTTCAAGAACACTAGCAAGACAAGAGGAGATTTGTTCCCTAGCCCCATGAATGGAGGATCTCGAAACTGAGTATGGTTTAACTTGGGACGAAGACGGCTTCACCGACATCCTACGATCCACTTTCTTCGGCGTGAACCCGAGTATTGACCGCACCGTTGAAGACTATGTGGAGCGCATCCTATTTGCCTTGACGGAAGCCATTGACGAACACTTCGAAGGCGTCGAGTGGAGGATCTCCACCTCTCCCTAACGAAGGTTTCTCTTTTCCCTTGCATCGTATTCCTTTTAGTCTAAACTCTCGTTGGTTTGATTGCAGTCACGACGGACTCTTTCAATTGCTCTCGCTTAAGCGCAGTAATCGTAAGATTTGAGTGCACCTCGATGCATCCTAATTCTCATTGTTAGATTAGGGATTAGTTTGAAAATTACTACTGCTCATTGTGTTGTTTTTCTATTTCTTTTTGGAAGCTTCAAAGTTCTTATCATGTGATTTTAAACCTAAGCGGATAACCACTAATTGCTTTATTTTGGTGTTTAAATTTGCTAGTGGATTTGTTCTAGAATTATTCTGATCTTGAGTTGTGCAAAATCTAAATGAATTAAACATTGCATACGTAGTCCTGCATCATCTGATATCAGAACATGGTATGCTCTTGCATGTTTTAAGATTCCTGGTAGTTTTCCTTTCTGCATTTATTTTACTCTGTTTTCATATAAAAAGCTACTAAGGTGCTAACTATTCATCGTGTGTCATTTTACATGCATAAAGCATCTTAGTTCACCATTACACTCCATTTTAAGTGTGCTGTACAGAAATTTCTACAGCTTTTAGCAAGCTTTTAGGGCCACTAGTGAAGTGCTTATTTGCTGTCCTTAGCTTCACAAACCTTTCTAGTGCTAGGGTGACTTCGTACATTAGTGTGGTTTGCTGTCCCTAAATTTCTTGCACCATATAGGGTCATTATAGAGTGTCTTTCCATCCCCTAGTTTGCTGGCCACTTCCTAGGAAGCCTTCTCAGCACCCCATTGTGTTTAGGAATGGACCCGGATCAACTAGGAAGGACTTTAGACCTCTTGGTACGCCAAATGAACAATATTAGCCAACAACTCAAAGAGAACCAAGTCGACCTAGCTGAGCTTCGTAGGAACACCACCGAGAGATTTAATACACTTGAGCGAGCTAGAAATCACCCTACGCCTTACATCCCATCTAGACCACCTTCTATGTATGGGGATGAGACTTACCCGGATAAGAGGCCACATCGGGCCAATCATCGAGCTCCCTACCATGGACATGATCCTGATTTGGATGAGAGGCATCACCGTGCCAATCATCGAGCTACCAACCACGGCCACGACCCTGATGCGCCACTTATGAAGAACATTAAGGTCGATGCTCCTACCTTTGATGGCACCCCGATCCCCAGCTCTTCCTGGACTTGGTCAAAGGTATGGACAGTTTTTTTAAGTGGTATGATATATCTGAGGCCAGGAAGGTTAGTTTTACGACTATGAAACTAACGGGTAGGGCGAGTCAGTTTTGGGGGAACTTAGAGAGTCTCAGAGAAGATAGAAATGATTACCCTATTGTAGATTGGATGTCCATGAAGTGGGAACTCAAGCAGAAGTACTTGCCTCCGTCGTACTTCCCCCGCCTATTGGACAGGTGGAATAGGCTGACCCCCAAGGCAACAAACCAGTGAAGGAGTACATCGCCTCGTTTGATGACTTCTTGATTCGCTGCAAAGGGGAGACCTCTACCACCCCCGCGCAGATCTTATCTATGTTTTGTACCGGGTTGCGTGAGGATATACGCAATGAGTTGTTTGCCCGGAACGTCACTACACTGGAGAATGCCTACAGCCTAGTGCTTGATCTAGAGGAGACCCATTCTCAGCACCCGAGTCGTTCACATGACTCTAGGCCTTCCTACAGACCTTCTGGTAGTTCCACCCCTCACACCCCCACTGCCCAGTCGACCCCTGGGAGCACTACCCGACCCTCGTCTGGTCCCCCCACTCCTCGTCCTAATGTTAGAAATAAATCTCCCACTCTGATCACCCATCGATCTAACCCCGGGACCAAATGCTTTAGATGTAAGGGGTATAGGCATATCGCCTCTCAGTGCTCTAGTCTATATAAAGTCACGATTATCGAAGAGATCACTGAAGCTGAATTCGATCCCGAAATCGACCAGATTCACCAAGTGGACAATGATGGTGAATTCTTTGAGGAGGATGATGACACTGCTATCATCCAGTACATTCAAAAAATTGACACTTCTCCCACCTGCGTGGCGAGATGTGCACTGTCACAACCCGTTACCACCGACGACTGGCGTAGGACTACGATCTTTCACACCTACACTAAAATTAAGGATAAGAACTATAAAGTCGTTGTGGATAGTGGCAGCTTCATCAATGCTGTCTCCTCCAGCATGGTGTTTAAGCTTGGTCTGTCTGTCGTTCCCCACCCCAACCCCTATAAGGTAGCTTGGGTCAACACCACTGCCTTGGAGGTAAAGGAACATAGCTTCATACATATCTCCTTTGCTGACTATAAGGAGAATATTTGGTGTGATGTGTTGATCATGAATGTTGGAAAAATCCTTCTAGGACGCCCCTAGATTTTTGACAACGATGTCCACATATATGGTCGTTCAAACATCTGCGTGTTTGAACATGATGGTATAAAGATCAAGCTTTTGCCATCACAGCCTCAGGTTTCAGATGATCCTGAATCCAACCCTGTCAAAGCCAAGAAGGGACTGAACCTGATAGCCGCCATAGCCCAAAGCGTGCCTTTACACACCTTAGTCGATCGTGAGACTCCCACTGAGTCTGATGAATCAGTCCCTCATGAGAGTCAGCTCATTCCTAGTAGACTTGTTGAGATCCATCCTGATGGTCTTCCCGACCCATTACCCCCGATTAGAGGCATTTCATATGTTCTAGATCTAGCCCCTGGAGCCTCCCTATCTAATCGTATTTCAGGTGGTCTCGACTACCTTGATTCAGTGATTTTTACCCTTGTTCTAAGTCCTTCTGAAATTGTATACGGGTTCAAACCTAGACAGTCATTAGATCTGATATCCATGAGTTCTATGTATAAGATTTATGAGTCTGCATCAGCATTTGCATGAACTTCATAAGGATATTGCACAATAAATTAAAAAGAATAATCATGAATATAAATTACATGCAGATTTAAAACGTCGATTTAAAACTTTTGAGGTTGGTGACTATGTGATGGTACGGATTCGTCCGGAACGGTTAGCTCCAAGAACATTTAAGAAATTGCATGCAAAGAATGCTGGACCTTTCAAAATACTTAAGAAAATTAACGACAATGCGTATGTAGTAGATCTGCCTGCAGAGTTCAATATAAATCCCTCTTTTAACATAGAAGACTTAGTGGCATATGAAGGTCCTGATTTTAACCCCCAAATCCACTATCAAAGCAGCCTTGTGTGAACCTACCTTGTGAGATCTCGAACCTACCTACACTACCAGATATTCCCAAATTTCTCATGGCTGAGCAAGTGGAGGCAGTATTTAAGTGATGAGATCATATCCACACGAGAAGGAGGACGAAGAAGGTATTTGATCAAGTGGAAAGGAAAGCCCGAGTCAGAGGATGCGTGGCTAGATCGCGAGTAGTTGCAGCAGATTGATCCGAATGCACTAGAGATCTACGAGAGTGGCAGAGATTCTTACTCGACGGAGTCGAGTTTTCCCCACCCCAGGAGAATGATGGGGACATCAGATCGTGGAAGGTTTATCAGAGACATGGCCGCCGATCTACGGCCACGATCGAGTCTTTATATTTATGAGTCATTGGTGTTATTTTATTATTCATGTATTTTCTTATTTTCTTAGGTGTTTTTCCCGTTGTACCTTCTTATGAAGGGATGTCGTATGTAAGTCCAAGGGGCATTTGTGTCTTTTGTTTTGAGTCCTTTTTATGAGGCTATTTAAAGCCCCCTTTGATCTATTTTGGTGGATGAAAGATTGCTTATTGGAATTTCTTCTTGCATGAGCGTTGAGAGCTTGAGAGTTCTAACTTCTAATGGAGAGAACTTCCTAGGAGGGGAAGAAGATTGGCGCAATACCCACCAACCTACATAAGTCGGGTTCGTGGTTTTCTTCATTTATCTCATTTCTTTCCCATCCATTGTTTTTCTTTTCTAACCCCTCAATCCAAAACTCACCAAGTCACCAAACCCATCCACCTAGCCGAACCCTTTCCCTCCCTCATATCTACAGCCAAATCCCTACCCAACTCCCCCATACCGCCGACCCAACACTTAGCCACCGCCGCCCTCCCACTCCGTTTCCCATTAAAATCCTTGCCTAATTTGGGTAAATTAATTTTGGGAAGAGTTTAAAAATTTCAAATTCAACTAATTTGAAATTTGAATTCTTTCCTAATTTATCATCATATTTTGGAAAGTTACTAAATCAATTTTATTTGAATTTCAAATTCAAATATTATTTATTTATTTCTTTCCTAAATCCTAATCCCAAATTAAGTAACCACAATTGAGTGCATTAAACCCATATTTCCCCTTTGGATCCGCCGGCCCCCTTCACCCCCTTCTTGGCTTTAATTAATAATTATTGCCTATTCTCCCCAAATTGCTTTTGGAAACTAATTCCAAATCCCTTTATGTTGCCTCTAGCAGATTTTTCCTAAGCCTTATTTCCTATTCTAGTTCTCAAATCAATTCACTGATTTAGGAATAGAAATCCCTCAGATTTCCCCTCTATCCTGCCGCCCTTCCTGTTCCTCTCTCCTTACCCGACCACCTCTCCCTCTTAAATTCCCTATCTCCCACTTCAATACCTTGCTGGAATGAAAGCTTGAATTCTCCTTCCAATTCCCCTTGCTCCTAAGCCTAGAATCCTGAGATTTCTCTCAGATTTTGGCTCCAAAATCTGAGTTTATTTTCAGAATTTTGAAAAGGGAATTTAGGAGTTATTCTTTCTCCACTTGCAAGAGAAATTTCTTTCTCTTCGGCAACCTTCAAGAACACTAGCAAGACAAGAGGAGATTTGTTCCCTAGCCCCATGAATGGCGGATCCTGAAACTGAGTATGGTTTAACTTGGGACGAAGACAGCTTCACCGACATCCTACGATCCACTTTCTTCGACGTGAACCCGAGTATTGACCGCACCGTTGAAGACTACGTGGAGCGCATCCTATTTGCCTTGACGGAAGCCATTGACGAACACTTTGAAGGCGTCGAGTGGAGGATCTCCACCTCTCCCTAACGAAGGTTTCTCTTTTCCCTTGCATCGTATTCCTTTTAGTCTAAACTCTCGTTGGTTTGATTGCAGTCACGACGGACACTTCCAATTGCTCTCGCTTAAGCGTAGTAATCGTAGGATTTGAGTGCACCTCGATGCATCCTAATTCTCATTGTTAGATTAGGGATTAGTTTGAAAACTACTACTGCTCATTGTGTTGTTTTTCTATTTCTTTTTGGAAGCCTCAAAGTTCTTATCATGTGATTTTAAACCTAAGCGGATAACCACTAATTGCTTTACTTTGGTGTTTGAATTTGCTAGTAGATTTGTTCTAGAATTATTCTAATATTAAGTTGTGCAAAATCTAAATGAATTAAACATTGCATACGTAGTCCTGCATCATCGACAGACGAGCTCAAACTCAAGCTCGTCCCACTTTAAACTAGCTCGAGTCTGTTCGCATGAATTTTAAAATTCAGGTGGGATTTTTAAAACTTAGTAAAAATTTAGAAAAAAAAAAAAGATAAAATGTTTAACATTTAATTAAAACTTAGGTGGTTATTATTATTTTTTAATATTTAAATTTAATAAATAAAATAAAATTACTTTAAAAAAATATTAATATTTATTCGAGACAGCCAGATTGGTTCCATCTTGATTCAGGGCCCAATCTGCATGAAATCAGATACTTCTCGGCCCTAAATAATGTTAGGAAATGGCATAGAGATTATTCAAACTTTATAATAGCACACCCTAAAGAAAACTGCAAGTTCACTACTTCCCTATCAGGAAATTTCTACTCTATGCTAACAAAAAATATTATTAAAGGCTCAGATAAAGTTATTTAAACCTTTTGGGTGGTAAGCTTCGCTTGAAAGAGAAGTATCGTTCAAAATATGTCTCTGTTGACTTGTGGGTTGCTTTATTTAGGCCACCCTTGTACGCTCTTACAACATATTCTTCACTTCTTTGTCTGTCAATGCAAGTTGGGATGTTAGGATTTTCAGTAATAGTCTGCTTATTAAAATGTTAATACAACCATCATCGTTCATGGAATATGGTACTTGAAAGAAAATGAAAAAAATTGTAGAACTTGAACTAATTTACAAGAAATGCAAACCTACTTTCCATCATGATTAAATAGCCATTTTACATATGCTGCACCAAAGTACACGTTAACAAAAGGTCTGTACAGCAGAGATTCATCTTCTAGCTCATATTTTCGATAACCCATATCCCTACAATGTTAAGACAATGTAACACAAATAAGGGCGTTGCAAATAATGCTACCTATTTCGTGACATTCATTTATATTAAACCTGACTAGCCATTCTGCTGTTGATAGTGCTATCTGCATGATTCCTATCTTAGTTTCCTTCAGTTTTTTATCATAACTCTCGCCAAGAAGCTGCCTGTCGCTTAAAATTTCAGCAAGAGCACAGAGCATGTCCTGCAAAACAGTTTAAGAATGTTAAACTGAAATACAGATCATAAATTCAATCCAGAAAATCCATACTACTATTAAAAAGCCAAAGAAACTCTATTATTTGAGATTACACCTAAATAAAATCTTAACCCTCCATTTGCCTAGTTTAGGCAGCATCTTTTCTATGAATCTTATCTCCTGTGTCACCATACTGATCAAGTGTATTGTTTCCATGCCCCCAATGAAATCATCCCCACAAACTAAAATTTCCACATAATCAAGCCCGTGGAATATTTCAATATCTTTAGTCAATGAGTATAATGCAAGAAATAAAATAAGCCAAATATGTGAATAGGCTTCCATATAGAAACTGCAAAAAGCGATGGCTTCATAAATTTAGCATACAACAAAAAGTTAAAAGAGCATGGCTTGCAAACCTTTAGAATCAAAATCTAATAGAAATTGCCTACTTAAATTTCATTAAAAAGAGACTTCTGTAAATACAACTAAATATTATAATAGTTGGAAAAAAAATAAAAAATAAATAAATAATAAAAAATATTATAAGTTGGATTAGGATAAAGCTTAGTTGCAACTTGCTTGCCAATTGCCATGATTTGTTAACTTCGGACATCAATTACTTGCCTTCACTGCCTTAAAAAAACGTATTTTCAGCAAAGTTCATGAGTCAAGAGTCCCAAGACAATATACTGCAATAACATGATGGAAAGTATTCATTTTCTTGACTTGAAAAATTCTAAATCATTTCCGTAACTCAAGTTCAAGTGGGCTCAAAAAATTCATACCAAGTGTCTCCATGCCTTTTTATTGATGGGAAGAGTTTTAATGGATTAGGTTTAAGGATTAATTTTCAGAAGACAGATTAGATATTAGCTAAGATAATATCCAAAGATTTTGTCCTCATTTAAAGAGGACTTCATTTAAAGAGGACTTTATAATATGATGTTTGATTTCTCATAGACGCAAGCCCCTATGGTTAATTACCCCTCAAAAAATGAGAGAGAACTTTCAATAAAGACTAATTACCAGATAGGTACAAAGTACTCAGTGTATAGAAGCAACAACTTTGAAGTTTAAAAATTGGGTTTTTAATAATTAAAATTTACCATCATTCACTTAAAGCAGGTGGTTGGGGAACGATGACAAACTCGATTAAGATCCCATGGTTTCATCATCTCGGATTATCATGATACTTAGTCTACTTAGTCAAAGGAGATAGTCGACCCCACTTGACCGAAGGATACTTGTTAGCAACAATGTGTTGTTTTGTCCAAAGGTACACTTTGTAAACTTAGGGTGAGTGTTTGTCTAATATGATGTGGGCTCCGAAAATTCGGCCTCGGCCTCCACTCGCTTTTCTTATTCGGCGAGGGAGTTTTAACGAACTAAATTCCGGGGTAAATTTTGGAAGGCAGATGGGTTTGTAGATAAGACACTACCCAGAGATTTCGCCCTCATTTTGTGAGGACTTTATGATCTGAGTTCTGGTTTCTTATAGGCGCAAGCCCCTATAGTTAATTACCCCTCTCGATCACAAGAGAGAACTTTCGATTAAGGCTAGTCGTCAATCAGATAAGTAGAATATACGTGTTATCTGGCATATAGTAGCAGCGATGGGTTTGGATATTGGTAGAAGTTGGATTTGGAAATTAGGTTTTGATTTAGGTATTTGAGAACTGGATTTGAATTTGGGAATTTGGAGAGTTTGATATTTAAAGTAGAAATTTCACCATCCTGCACTTAAAGCTGATGGTGGGGGAATGGATGATGGACCCGATCAAGATCCCATGGTTCCGTCATCCCGGGCCATCGTGGTCCCTGGTCTACTTAGTCAGAGGAGGTAGTCGACCCAACCTGACAGAAGGATCCTTGTCAGCAGCCATGGGTTGCTTCGTCCAAGAGACCGCCCTCTTCTTTTTTTTTTTCAAGAACTACATTCTTCTTTTTTTTTCACAATAATGAAAAAATAAATAAAAACTAATACAAAATCTATCCTAATAACAGGAAATAGAAATAAAACAAAATAGAATATAAGATAAAAAAAAAAAAAGAGTTTGTTGTTTTGATGTAGGCTTGGGTTGAATGGAATGAAGCAGGTTTGAATGCAAATATTTTACAACAGATTATGGAAGTGGTGGGTTAAGATTTGTAGAAATCTGTTTGGAGGAATGGGCTTTGGAATGGTCAAATGGATGGGATTTGGTATGAGAAGTGGAGTTGAACTTTGCTGTTTGGTGGAGAAGAATGGTTCTGTTTTGTATGGAGTGGAGAGAGGTTCATCATACTCAAATTCTTCCAACAAGATGCCACATGTTTCCTGTAACTACATGAAGGACTTGACAAATCCGAATAACTGGAATTTACTCCATCTCTCTGTTGAATCTACTCAGAACTCTCAAGATTGAGATCAAATGTTGAAATACATGTACCACCTCTATCTAAATCATCCATTATACCAAGAGATATGCATAAACTCTAATGAAATCTATCATAAGAGAAAGCTCTGTTCTGATAAGCTCAAACAGGTTTTTCATTCATAACCCCCACTTCCTTTGTGCAAATGAGGTCTATGGCAGATGAAGTTCACGGTTAGAGTGGCGGAGCTCAACTTCTTCAGTTGAGAGAAGAGATCCCTTCAGCTTTCATGTGAGGTGAAGTGGACGAGAGTTCAGTGGAAAAGGCTTGGTTCAGCTGTAAAGGAGGGAGCTAGGACTGTCCTGAAGAGGCTGAGCTATTAGACATTTAGTAGAACCATAAAGGCTCTCAGACCAGCTCAGCAAAGGTTTTGAGATCGGGTATGGGCTGTGGTGGACGGAGCTCTAGAGTGAGAGGGCTGCAGCTCTTTGAACTTGAACGGCGGAAAGGGCTTGTTGTTTAGCTGAGGGAAGAAGGTCGGTTGGTGCTGTGAGGTGGATTTGGAGCCGTGGTCTTCAGCCTGGGCGTGAGGAGGCAAAGACAGACAGGGAAGGGAAGAGAGACTTCAGCCGTAGTGGAGAGGAGTTCGGAAGAGCAAAGATCATTTTCTTCAGGACCTGGAGCTCAAGACAAAGAGGAAGGTTGAAGGGAAAGAAGTAGCGGAAGCAATAGATCATGGCTGTGAAAGTGATCCCCAAGAAATGAAGGGTTACTTCGCTCTGTTTTACTTACCAATGCAGCGTCTGAGGCAGGATTTGATCTAACGTCGACGGATTTTCAGGGATTTAGCAGAAGATTTCGGCAGAAGCCTTCGACACATCCGAGGTAAACACATTAATGTGATTGGATTTTTATTTTTTACTTTGTTCTGATTTTATTTCTTTTAAACTAATATTAAAATTAATAATATACTATTATTAATATTAATATTAGTTTTAGATTGCAATCTTGTGTTTAATTCAAAACAAAAAATCTCTTGATTTGCATGCCAACTGCTCCATTTTGTGTGTCAGCTTTGCCGAATATAAAAATTAGATGAATCGGTAGTGCATTTAGGGTATTGCTGATGTTCCGATCACAATGACTCGGTCTGTTTCACGATCGGACATCATCCCGTCACCGACGAGGCTAATTTCCCTCGTAATACGCGTCTTTGGATCATATTTGAATCGCATTTGAAATTTACGACGCCACCTCAAACGATCCAAATTTATTAAATAAAATGTATATTCTGAATGTCGACGACGTTCCGGACGCAATGGCGCTGTCCGTTTGTCGATCAGACGTCATCCGAGCATCTTCGAGGCCTCGTTTTCGTCATAACGCATGTCTTTATATCATATTTGCATCGCCTAGAAATTCACCACCATCTCGGATGATCCAAATTTATTAAATAAAATGTATATCCTTAATGTCGACGACGTTCCGGACGCAATGGCTCTGTCCGTTTGTCGATTGGACGTCGTTCGAGCATTTTCGAGGCCTTGTTTCCTTGAAATGCGCGTTGTCTCGAAATTCATGTCACTCATTAGGATGATACAAATTGAACAAGTAAAATACAATTTTTTGAGTATTTGCAATGTTCTGAACACAATGATGAAGTCCGTTTGCTGATCCGACATCCTTTGATCAGCCTCGTGCTTTAATTTCGGGTGTCGGTCGTCCCTTTTGATCGATCTCATCTGATTCAATTGCGAGGGGCCTCGACCCAGCAGAGTTCGATGTCCTGATCGCAACGATGTCGTCCGTTTAGCATTCGGAGGTCATTTGACCCTTTAAGTGACATGTGGCGCTAAGGCGCGTAATGTTTTATTCACCAATTGGTGTCCTTTATCGCGTGGTTTGAGGTATAGGGGTCAACATATGACATATTCAACTTAACCTTAGCTAACAAAGGGCTTTGTGCCCTATAAAATGTATCCTATGATTCATTACTCAAGGGGCTTGGAGCCATTAGGGAATATACAGCCTCTGGTCATGATCATAATATAATGATGTCATTTTATGGCAAAACCATTTGGTTAGAGGGTCTCGGTCATAAACATTTACTTGTAGTGTTATTTAGTAGCAAAACTATCGGTTAGAGGACACATGTCACGCTCTTACTAGCGAATGATTGTTTGAGAATGAATTTTAGCAATATGCTCGACTAGATATTCGCTCCTTCAGAGTTGAATTTATTTTCAAATTTATCCTCGACAAACTGTTGTGAAGTTTGGATGAATTTTCCTTTATGTTAGATGATTAAATTTCATTTTAAGTATTTGAATTTTGATAATAATTAAAATTTTAGAATTTTGATATATTGTAAAAATTTACCCCTCCGATTAAGATTACTTTCAATACAGCCATCATCAGAGTGCATTAAAGTCACTCTAAAAATTTAAATTTTGTTAAGATTTGGAGGCATTAAGAGATAGAGTCCCATCTAGTTGACATTAGCTTTCAATAGGAACACCATCGGATATTTAAATAATTTATATTTTTATTACCTAAAAGCCTTATCAACTCCACCCACTTGCTGGCAGAGAATCAGGTTCGATTTGAGGACAAGTGATATTTGAATGAAAGGGACTCTGGTTGACATT